ATCGCCGCGAGATTCGCTAGCGTCACGCCACCGATAACCCGGACACGATAATCGTGACACCGTGGATCCTTGCCTGAGATTCATTCGCGGCCGAGCTGATCGGACGCCCGTTAGAGCCATTTAAGGAGCCTCTCCAATATTTCTTCGCCTTGATTTCCGAATAAGGTCACGCGGATGTTTGATCGATCGGAATGGCCTCAAGGTTCGCCTCGTTACAATCTCGGCAACTATTTTTCCTCCTAGAATAAACTATTACTACGAAATCTCTGTGGCAATATCGCGCTGCGACACGAACCGTTACGGGGAAAATCGTTTTTTTTTTTTAAAAGTTCCTATACAGATCAAACTATTTTCTCAATAGTGTTTGTTTAAGCTTACTGAATCAAATAATACTGATCTTGTTGGATGAATGAACGAATTAATGGAATTAATTGGAAAATTTTTGAAGTTCATGAATACTGGGTATTTTAGAATGAATGAGAAATTAATGATTGGTAGGACTATAGGATTTTAGGTTGGGAAATTAAAAAAGAAATGATTTTATCTGTTGGAGAGAGTAACAAGATAGAATTCAAGAGGAATTTGAAAATTGATAGAGAACGCGTGGCTCCGGATATGACTGACTAATGCGTCTGTTCATCACTGTTTCTACTGGCAATTCACTTTCGATCGAAGTGTACTAGCGATTCAAAATACGAGACCTAGGTTCTTGATTAATGAAAGGGGTTAATATCGTTTTATAAAGATGTAACAAAACTTCTGACGACTATGATAAAACATTAATTAATATATACAATATTCACTTATTTTAGCTAACCTATTCAACTACACACGTTTGCGCTAAATATTTGTTTCAATAAATTTTCCGCAAACAGAATGATGTAATGGATATTTCCAGTACTGCGTGGTATACCTCATTTCAATATTAATTCATTAAATGTATTAATGTAAGTAATATAAAATAATAGAGAGATATTTACATCAGACAATGAATTGTAATGAATGAATTTCATACGTTGAATAACAGTAAGACTTAAGCACTACCTGTCGGCCGTGTTAAAGCCGAACCCTCAACGGGATAAAATAAGACATCGAAGCAAACAACTTCAACTCTTTTGAAGCTCCACCAAGCAAAAATAATATCCAGCGTGTTCCCCAGACGCGTCGGTGCACGGATCATCCGCTCTGAGTCATTTCCAATATCCACCCGACGAGTGAACGGATCCCGTCCCTTTGACAGAACTGCCAAACCAGTCGAAATCCAATAAAGGCGACTGAATTATACTATTTCTTTTTACAAATATTGCTCGAATTTTTAATTCCATCAATTTCATCAATCCCATCGATTCTCTGAATTCGATTACTTCTATTAATGCCACCGACTCTATCGATTTTAGCAATTGCCAGCCACATCCCGTGAAATCATAGGAATGGATAAATTAATTTTATCTAACTCGATACGAACTTCGCCGATTATATTATGCAAGTAAATTGTGTACATTCTTAGTATTCATGCTGTATTGTACTTTAAAATTGTGAATTCTGTTTGATGTTTTGATAAATGTCTATCCGAAATTACGAGTATATAAAAAAATGTGATATCGAGACAAAAAAAATAAAAAAAGAACACGTTTCTTATTTATTTATTTGTATTTACTTGCACAGACTTAAGCAAGGTCATTGTATCTATTTACTTTCTACAATTTCTTAATTATCAATTTACAACATTTTACAATTTCTTTAATCAACCCTTTTCGTATCTCTAACATAAATAAGTACACGTGCATCGTAGACAGCTATAAAGAAATATGTAATCCACTTTAAATCGCGAACGATACAAGCAACGACAAGACAACCGCATCGTTGCACCAGGAATCAAATTTGTTTCTTGACGCATCACGATTCGATTAAGTCGATACTCGTTGGTGGTCATTACGCCGATTAACTTGGTTTGACTAGCCGTCAGCTGGTCGAGGTCAAGTTCAAAGCGCGTAACGAGGTAGGGAATTGACGACCGTGATCCCAACGCTTGATTCCTGTTTATTATCGATCACGTTCCCTTGGATCGATCTCTAACCGTTCGTGATTTCATTGCTACCATTCGAATTACCTCAATTCCTTTAAACCACAAATAAAACAACATTTAGGAAATATTTTCTCGTAACCAACACTCAATCTTATACACTCGAAAATTTTTACATTAGATACATTCATTATTTCCTAATAAAATACTGTGTCTGAGTAATTGCTTGTGTTAAACTTCTACAAACACTACACGAATCAATGGATAGAACTATTTTATTTCAATATTTTATGTCCAATTAGATTATATGATTTCCAATTATATAAAATTTAATATTGGACATCGTAATTTATAATTTTGCTATATCGAATAATGCGGCGACTGCGAGTCGCCTCTCAACAGTAAAGGATTAATTTCATTTACGAAAATTTCCATCTACATCGTCGTAGTAGAAATTATCATTTTTATCAATTGCATCATCATTTATCGTACCCATCGACGAATACATGTTCCAGTGGATTCAGGTTTTCCCCGTGCAATCTAAGCCAATTGAATTCGAGCGCTATCCTAGCGAATGTGTAACAAGTGTGTACACAACACACGCGATTCCAGTATTAGCATCTCCCTACCCACCGCGCAGAATAAATATGTTCTTCGATTCCGCTGAATTACTAGAATATAATGGCAGAATGTTACGGTAAGTAGAAACAGTTGGAGATAAGCGGGCAAGTGAAACGAGTCGTTCGATGAATGTTCACTTGATCCCTGTAGCATCGAAGTCTCGTTTATGAAACTTCAATGAGAATTCTGAATTTTTCCATCGTTTAACACTAGGTTTACGAACGTTTATTGTACAGTTTATTCTATTGTTGCTAGATAACTTGATGTTCGTTGACTTAGATCTTAGAAATTAGAGATTTGAAAATGAACAATTGAGACGTGTAGTCGTGTAATTGCCTCGATCATAATTGACGTAAATATGTATCGAACAATGTTCATAAAGTTCAATATGCGCCGAATTGGCGCGTCCCGTGGGCCCAGTGTTAAATCGGAATTTCTGACCCACCCTGTGTGCAGTAATTCATCGGGTTCAATTCTCTGTTTCGAATCTGCTGGTCAAGAAGCTATCACATTTTCAACAGAAATATCTTCAACAATGTTAGCCGCGTTATCGCCTCGTTGTCTTCTCCGCGTTAAATAGGGTCAACATCCCGCAAACAAACAAATAAAACAAACGGCGGTCTTCGGACGCGGATAAAAGAGGACGTTCAGCTAATTCCTCGAAACAATATTTATTCTCCGGTCAGACAACGAACCCGAATATGACTTTTGCACTCGCATCGAGAGTCCGAGCGATGCTTCCACGCAGATACGGGAAACGTGGGCAAACAAATGTATCAATTATCAGTGGGCAGGATCACGCGCGAGAGAAAGCGCGCATTGAACGATGATCGTGGACGCCGACGTAATCGTCAGTGAAACGCTCGATAGCCGGTTTATCGGGCAGTTTTCCCTTTATTGCAGTAATAAACGTTATTAAGCTCTGAGCGTAAAAATGAGCATCTCTCTACTTGTATTGTGGTTATATTGATCTGAAGTTTTAGTAATAATATTTTGGAAATAATATTAGTGACAATATTTTATACTTAACAATAAATTACGGCATAGCGTTTCTTTGTATTTGTTAATGTCAAACGTACTTCGTCGAAATACGAAACTGTGTATTTCTTAATGAAGAATCTATCTGCCTACGTAGCTTTCAGAAAACTCCGCTTGTTTAAAAAATAAATTGAGAACCACTGTTCCGTTAATTTTTCAAGACACATACTGATCCGTGTTAATCATTTATCTACGAAGAATGTATGCACAATTATGAAAGACCAATAAATTAACCTTCAGAACGCAGAAAACTGGTAAAAGAAAGAAAACAAGAAACAAAAAGCAGATAAATGGCGGCGACCACGATAGACGTTCGCAAAACTCGCGCGAGATTTCGCGTGTCTAAGTCGCTGAGATACAGTCAACGTATTTCCCCGGAGTCGGATGGCAATGAATCGTACGATGGAAGATTTTTCGGTAACTCGATCTAAATGGAACATTACCGGCGATGTAGAAAAGTCTGAGTCATCCGCCAGCAAAGAGAGCACCGCTGAAACTATCAATGCCAAGGTCGACGAACACACCAGGCCGACCATCATGAACCGCAATCGCCGTGTCGCGTGGGTGTTGCGCAGCGAACGACGTCATTGTTCACGCGAGAGGGACGTGACAATGCATTTGCGACGGTGACGTATCACACGGAAATGAGAAGTTGGCCTACTACTCATTGTTTTCTATGGTTTTATATTTATTTATATAGTACTCTTTATTGTTTCGTATAGCCTCACACGGTTTTCCATAGTTTTATATTTATTCATATTATTTTGTATTTTTTCGTATAGCATTACACTGTTTTCCATAGTTTTATATTCATTTATATTATTTCGTGTTGTTTTATACAGCTTTACATTGTTTTATATGGTTTTGTATTGTTTTATGACTGATCCTAATTTTATATCATTTTATAGTACATACAATAAAACACGTTTTAAATCTTGGAAAGTATAATCTTCCAACTTGTACAGGAAATTATACTTTAACATTAGTACTTTCTTTCGCGTGCTACTTCCTCGTAGGAAACGGAAGTTCTATCGTAATATTCAACACCTTCCCAAACATGTTAACGGTTCTGATAAAAATAATAATTATAAACGACGCTATATCTGCTCTATTTTAATACATATAAATCTAACAATTTTTTAAATATCTTTCATCATTCGCTGAAGATTCCTCATTTTGAATTGATATAATGTAACACTAGCTCGAAGTATCATAATCTAATTTTACGACTTATTACCTAATACAGAGTCACCAAGAGATTTTGTGTACAAATATGTTTATATATCGTAGTTTCAATAGGGATACAAAGAGAACTTACCTTACGGGACAGCAAACCAGCTGTCGGAGTGCGATCGTTAGGATCGGACTCGGGAATCGGTTCATTCGGGTTCTCCATGTGCATCCCCGGCCATCCGACCCAGACGCCATTCCCGCTGATGACCACCGGTGCTACCGCAGTCACAAGACCTCCAGCACTGGAAAAAAACACGTGGACATCATTAACGGGCCACCGGGTTTAATAAACATTTCGCATCCGGAAACCCGCCTACTCTCGTCATTAGGGAACATATGCGCTAATTAAAAAATATTGGAAAACGTATCAGCCAAATGCAATCCGTCTCTATACTCATTCTTCGTGACACTGAATATACATTAAATACACATAATATTATAGTTAGTTTCGAACCTGAAGATTTAATATTACGATAATACAATATTTCTTATAATATTTCTAATTTTATTGATACTTCTTACATAATATTCTTAACGCTTGGTTTGCGACACACATCGATTATCTATCTTTAAACGTCTAATCTACAAGATCTAAATAAACTAAGTTTAATATTACGAATAATTTTGCACTCGAGGTCTCAAAGTTGCAAAGCCATTGAGTTTTCTATTGAAAAGGAAGACATAAAGCGTGTTACGATAAAAATTCTGAAGTTCAAAACATACGGTACACCGTTAAGGCAGATATTTAAAAGAGTTGCTTATATAAAAAATAAAAAACTAAAACGCCTCGCATGACTGTCTATTGCACACTTTACTTAGCCCCAAGGCCTTTAATGCCTCGAGAATTCTTATCGCTGGAGATGCGAGCCGTCCAGTAAACGGCAAAAAAAAAATATAGCAGTATGTGGAAATGTAGGTTCTTGCAACCGTCACAGACTTCATAGACCTGATTTGCTATAAAAACACGATTATTTACATAATCCCGTCTGCAGATTATCATTTCCCTGAGTGGCCGAAAATCTTGAACCAAACCAACCTACGATAAGAGTCGAAGATGAGTCAGACCGATCGCGTTATCGAAACAACGATTAGAATTCGACCAATCCAGGATCGAGGAACCGGACCGAACCAAATTAGAATTAATGGGATTATATTAGCGTAACCTAAGGTCAAAACGAAATTAGTTCAACTACAATGAACCTGAAAGCCGAGAAATTGAATGTGTATGTTCCCAGGAAAGAAAAGTCCAGTTTAGACTTGGAACATTGAAAGAGTGCGAGCTGAAAGACTTCGAACTTGATATTATCCATTGAAAAATGTATCTTTTCAACAATTGCAGATTTCAGCTTGCAACGCAATCGTTTCTCAATTAACATACAAACGTTTCTTAAGCGCACGTGTACGAAAGTCTGATGGATGCGTGACCAAGCGATGACTTTTCTGAAATGCTCATGATCTAACGGCGCTCTTTAACCCCGCCGCATATTCACGAGCACACCGATGCAATGGAACGTATTCGTATTTCAACCAACTTTCCTTAATCTGCATCGCGTGAAACGTATCTCGAATTGCACAGTGATATCTGCTGTTCGATCGAAATGTTATTAGAGCTAATGGTCTGAGTTGAAGATGTTCGTTAACCAATTGCCTCGTTGTTTATAGAAAATTCATTTATACCTCCAAGTTGAATATAAAAATGGGATATTAAGTATGAAACATAATTTACGAAATCTAAAAGAAAGTCGTCTCTGAAATTATGGAATGGAAATTGAGGAACACGTTGAAAGTCTCGTGTAGCCATCGAATCTACGTATTAATATGATAATGGAAGAAATAATGCAAAGAGGAAGAGATCAATCTATCGAACAAAATCTCGGAGAGAACCAATGAGATTCGAGTCCCGAAATTTAATGCAATTGTCAACTGTGTGGTTTATTGGCAAATAAATGGACGTTTGATCATTTGGTAATTTTGGCTAAAGTGTTGGCGTGCGCTAAGAACATTTATGATTTGGATATAAACCAGTGATAATGGAAAAGATATCTTCGGTAATTTCATGATAAGATGCATTAAGACTAAGTGTAATCGATACGTTAGCCTGTCAATGGGACGCGTTCGCGAACGAAGTTATTGGCACGTCATGGTTATAAATTTGTAATCGGAATTGGCCATTATCCAGCCTCGAGACGGAGAGGCTCTTAACTGTTCTGTGCTTCGCCGTGGTGCTTGAACGTACTAGGTCAAACTCAATAACTTTATTAGAGCTCGTGTTGTACAGGCTGTTCCAAATATCATAGTACAAGTGCAGAAGAATCCATGTTTGAATGTTTTACATTGAATGTAATTAATGTGTAATTTAAATGTAATTTAATTCTATATATATATATATCCCATTCTATTTCCAAATATAATTTAAAAATGTAGAAGAAGGAGCACAAATTAACAATTTAAAAGCAATATTCGAGGTCACGTATTGATATTATGATATACATAATGTAAAAGAGATAAATGTAAAATATTCTAGTCGTAATTTTTCCTATCAGTAAAATGTTAATTTATTTAAATTCAAAACAACGGAGAAAATAATTTAATTGTCTGGAAAGTAAATATTGCATATCATAAAACGTGACAGTTAGAAATAACTGTGTATGTATGTACTTTTTAGAATCACTGATTGATCAGTCTCCGGCTCAATGCCAAACATGAGTAAATTGTTCGCTACACGTGTTGACTACTATGCCAATTACATGATCGCTTGATAAAGAAATCACGACGCGTTGAATGTTATTTACAAGTTACTGTCATCCTTCGGCGACTGATTGTACGCGAAGAATAATCAAACGTACGCCTCTTTAAATCGTTATCGAATTCTGCAATTAACATTTTAGTGAAAAATATCGTCCGATGTAATTGCTCCTTATAATTATTTTTATAAATCCATACATAGATAGTTTAATCAAAGAACTCGTGATTTCAAACGGAAGATTGTCGTTCTATTTTTGCGCTTGACAAAAAGAACAGAAGCAAGCCAGAAACAAATATTGTTTATGTTTTTATAAAGCCTGATCCGATTTCTACGGTCGGATATACACGAGTTATTTTAAACTAATCTAGCGCAGTACGAAGCAAATCTTCTCGACAAAGAAAATCCAAGAAATCTAATCCGTAATAAGACGCTAATTTCAACATCACCTGTTGTTAACAGATCGAAATCCTAATACAACTGCCATTTTAATAAATGTTCAGTCGCAAAAAGATCTGCGTTCGAACAATAAACTAAATACTTCCAAAGAAATATGCGGCTTACGATATTCAAGAATAAACAAAGGATAATAAAATATTGAAGTTGATTAGGATATATCAATAAACTACAACTGGTCACGAGTGCATCTATAAATTAGAATCATAAAGGTTCGTGTAATAGAAAATTTCGAATAAGAAGCTTCAGTTATAAAGCTTCAAGTTACAGACAATTTCAAATTACAAATCATCAGATTATAGAGAATTACCAATTATGAATCTTCAAGTTAAACAGGGTTCTAAATTATAAAGCTTCAAGTGACTAAGGTTCGACCGTAGCAAACAAGCTCCAAACTTTTGATCGCGTTGTAGATCATTCTACTAGAGCGTGCAAACCGATGCGACAGATCAGTGCCAGTCGCGTACGCGATACCAACACGACGCATCCGATTTCGAACGGCAATCAATGCCACCGGTGACGAACTTCGTGTTTTTCCACGGACTTTTACTGCGTACGCGGCGTGCGAACCGAGGAAGCGACTCGGCTACGGACAAAACCGCGATAATATATTACCTCACACGTAACGACGCCAGGCGGAAAGCACGTGGCCGCGCTGAATACCTTGTGAATGAGCACGATCTACTCCCCGCAATCCGATATAATCCTCGTTATCGTTATCTGCGAATTTTCTGCGGCACGAACGCGTCGTCGCAGTTCCGTGCGCCGTCAAAGAACAAATGCAATTGATACGAAGCGCCACCGGGATTTTTGGATCAACCAATATCGCCGTCATTGAACACGACGGACGAAAGAAACAAGAAAATAAGTGAACACCTGTAGATAAGAGTGTCTGGCGAACTTGATCCACTGATTTACGATATGCTGTTATTCAGCGCGGAAAGTAACCGATTCGATAACATCTATTATAGTATACATCTATTATAACGATACAGTAGAACAGACCGATACGAGGATCGTTTTCTCTTTAGCAATAAAAGAATCAAAATACTGAAACGTCAGTAATAAACAGTGAACAAGAATTTTGAAATTTCCTTTTAGCAGATAAGTGAGAAGATGTAATTTCTGGTATGACAAATATGGTCTTATTTTGATTCGATTCGTATTGGTCTACCCTATGTACTTCCAACGATTTCCCTGAATACCTCTAACTCGTTTTTAATGAACACCTTCACGGCCATTTTATCACGAAATCCATTATCTGCGACGTTAAAGTGCTTATCGCCGGAAAACTAATAAAAACATGATTCTTCCGTATGAGCAACGCAGTAATTGTTCAACTGCATTACGGAAAAACACAGGACGGGCTGCTCCGAGTCTGAGTAAGATAAGAGTACACTAATTCGGTATGTCAGGTGTGATCCGGTGTGATATTCCACGTCTATGAAATCACGATCTATTTTGTATTCCGTTTGCCACTGGAAACTTTGAACCATTGAGTCATTGTAAGTGGAGAAATTTCGACCGATCATTCGAGTGGATTATTCACGGCCCGCTGATAGCGGTGCGTCGCGAAGTATCGCGCGTCTCGCGTCGAAAAATAGAAATCGTTCCGCGTGACCACGGTCAATCGAGACGATTATGATCGCGATGGGAACGGATCACGGGATGCCCCGTGTTCGATCCGACCGGGCAGAAAATAATTAGCGTTTAGACCGAGCTAATCTAATCGCGGCCGGCCGTTTAACAATAGATTTACGGAACGAGCCAATTTGACTGATATTAACTTTTATAAACATTATTTGGTGAATGTCTCAGGCGATTTTGATCCATGCAATTGGACTTCATGAAACTGGATTTCGCAAATTATTTTACAAGTATGCTGTATCGCAAGTAAAGCAATTTTCTCATTTTCATAAATAAAATTAATTGAAACTGTAATACTTCAATTTTCTTTAAAACAGTCGCGTCCACAGGGTTGCGAGAAAATTAACCCTTTGCACTAGAGAGGTGACTTTCACTCACCACTAGATTTGATATAACAGAATTATAAAATCTTATATGTAACATTAAATTTTGTATAATGCATCAATAAGTGAAATATTGTGAATGAATGTATTATGAAGTGAATAACAGTGATCTATATTCTTATCGGAAGATGTTGCATATATCTGGTAAAAAACTTTTGACTGCAAAGGGTTAAACAGCACAAGCAGAAACGTTTGACTCAAGATAAATCGTCTGGTAAGGGGTTAATACACAGACTACGGCCGCAAAAATAGGAACACCATCGTTGTCCTCCATCTTCGCGCGAGCCACGGGCATCGACGCGGCCGCGATTGCCAAGAAACGAGAGATTAAAGACCCGCGGGGCTTTGTAAACACACATTAAAGATAATCGGGTCATTTTTATTATTGCAATCGCGGTGCCACGCCGACCGATGCAACCGGGCCAAACAAACAACGAATTCGTAAACAAACCGTGACGCGTACAGAAAACTGCGATAAATCATGACCACGGCGTCGCTCCCGACGGAAATTATGTTTTCTGAATAGGAACTGATTAAATGAAAACAATGGAATCGTTACTTTGATATTCTTCAGTCGAATCGTCGAGTTCAATGCATAAAATAACGAATAATCCATACAATGCAACGGAATAACAAACGCTAGAGGCTCAGCTGATTGTGCAACGACTTTCGTTCCTTTGTTCTGTGATATTACTTTCGTATTAATGTTCCTTCTTCAAAATCTAGACGCGAGAAACTTATAGCAATGCAAATTGAAAATCTTCGAAAGGAAAGTAACTACTGTCCGTCCACGACTTGATAGCTGACAAGACGGTACAGAGGCAAGAAGCGTCTCTCACTATTAGGTGTGTTTATAGTTTTGAATTGGTTACGCGTAACCGTAATGACGAATAGCAAATTAAAATCAAAGATGAGATCAAAATTACCTAATTAGAGCAACATAGCCATAAATTTATGATCCTCAGCTAAAGGACGCTGTGTAGGGCCAGAAGAAAAGATGAATGTTTGGAATGCCTGACTTCGAAGGCACTAACTCTTATGAGTCCTTGAGCGAATTAAAAAAGGGGCGCACGAGGATACCTACTACAACATTATTGGCCGAGTCGGGCAACAGAGGACTCGAGCGAAACGGAATGCGATAAAGTGAGATGTACGAACATGTTTACCGAATCCTAAGGACATAGAGTTTAGCTACTGTTTCCTGGAAAGACCGAGGTTCAAAAGTTGTTCACTTTGCACGCAATAAAATCAAACAATGAAGTGTATACTGGTCAAACGCAGCTCAAATGCACCTACAATATATTCTAACGAAAAATTAAAGCCAAACGAAGAAAAATTACACGTTTATTTGAAAAAATAAATGATTTATCGTTGAAAGAATTAGTATCGTTTTGACTTTTAAAATAACGCGTGTACTCGTCGAGTGCAATTAACTAGTTGCGGCCCCCACGCATGTTGCAACCTGCGGCGATGCAGGCATCAAGTGATGGGTTTGAGTCTTCCAAAGTTTCATGATACATGTTGCACTCAAACAAAAAGTGAAGAAACCTCAAACCCATCGCTCGTAGCGATGCCGGCATCGTCGGATGTGTCAACGTGTATGGGGGCATTTAGAGCGTGGCTCGAGACAAAAAAGGCGATCAGCAATGTGTCGCGTTGAAGGGAAGTTAGCGCAAGGAAAGGATATATAAAGGATTCCGATTAATGTTCGACGATCTGGCCATCGAACAATAAAACTATTGCAACAGTGAAACCTTCTTTTACCAAAGTCGATGCAACTGTATGTGGTATCTCAATCAGCGTCACTCGATGATTCGACCAGTTCTAAAACGGAATTCTCAGTAGATCTATGAATGAACCGAAACAATGTTCCACGAGCGTGTTCTTACGAAAAATTTCGACACCGTTAACCTATGATACACGTGGAGCAGACCTGCCGACACAGAACGTCAAGCGATACGTAATCGCGTACTATTTTTTCGCGGACCATAAATAAACGCAAGGAGCGCAATGCCGGCGTGCATCGGTCACTAAGTCGCAACTGGCAATTACTTTCCACTAGGCGACACTTGCTCGTTTTTCATTAATATTATCTCTTTATTTGATTATTTGTTTATACTAATAATATTGGTATTAATAATACTAGTAGAAAGAAATGTATTACTTATTGTATTCTAAATAGAATTTAATTTATTATTATTATAAATATTAATATTGTAATATTGATAATATTATAGTATTGATAATATTATTAAAATTGATTAATATCAATATTTAAAATCTCTATTTCTTGTACGTATAACTACGAGTTCAATTTAATTCAATAAAAGAAGAATTGCATATTTAAATATTCTTCGTAATTCCATAAACACGAAGCGACAAATATAATTCACCATGTCCAGTCTAAGATAAGAAATAATCTTATTGAAATCTGTTTCTCGCACAGTCAGTCATGAATATCGAAAATGTTTTTAATAAAAACCTTAAAGGCGTGGAACGACAGTCCAACTTTTCAAATAATATTCTTCTCCGGTTCTAGAAATAATATGCTGTCTCGTAGAAGTAGAAACCTTTTGAAGAACACGAGAAGGGAAAACGTTTCAATAGAGTTATTGATTCTTGGGTCCAAGAAAATGGAAAATCTAACACAACTGTTTTATCACAACGCGCAGAGTTTCCGAGCAGAAAAGTCGTGCGAACCAATCCTCTCCGTTTTGAGAGACGGAGTGAAACTCAATTGATTCGCCAATCTCATCTCCAAGGACTCATGTACTGCGTGAGAAGCTTTCAGTCTCCAGACGTCTTGCAAAGCGATAAGGTTATTTGAATAGAAGACTATTTTCACGAACGCGCAAACAATAGGACGAAACCTGTATATTGCATTGCAGTGTTATATTAACAACTCGCGATCTACTTTACTCTCAATTTCCTCGCTGTGGAAATTATATTATTTTCGATTGAAATATCTTCTCGCATTTCCTATTCGTCTATTGAAACATTCTCGTTTCTGTTTTACTTCCACGGACAATAATCAAATATTCTAATGCATTCTAGAAAACTAGAATTAGTTTTGTGAAACTTATCTGAGTATTAATACTGATGAAACCAATACAATTACGATCTTTCCAGTCTTATCTTGATGTTTCATTTTCAGACGAGAAAATGATTAATTATAAGTGAAATGAAGTAATTACGAATAATATTTGAGACGGATCGTAGTCTCGTTTTTTAAACAATGCAATTCAGGGTGACTGGTAAGTTAACAAGAAAATGCAAAGGAGTTACAAATACGATGCTAAAAGAAAATTATTAAAGGCAAATAATGATCGACTCCTACTTACTGGCTGGCAATGAAACATTAGATAACCGATCGCGTCGTTTCACAACATTAAATGACCCTCTAATTATTTGTGGCGACATAATCGATGCGGGTCGCCGAACAATCGCTCAGAAAAAATATTTTCCAACAACTCGTCAACCAGATCTGTCGTTCGAATTATTGGGTTGTTACAGAAGTTTTAACAATTTCTTGCATGGAATAAAAAGAAAAATTTTTCAAATATGTTTATTCACTATTATATAATTTTCACTGATTGCTGTTACCCTGTCTCATCTACCTATAAGCTTATTTATGCCGTCATCGTAAAAATGCTGTGATTTCGAAGTGAAAAATGAATCTAGTGATATTTTCACTTCCTTCAAAAAGCATTCAAAATTTTTGCATCAACCCAATCATTTCATTAATAAAAGAAACAGCCGTGAACGAGGGAACCCGTACATTTTCCGAGCAGTCTCGCTTTGATACGTCCTGCGTAGATATTTCTATCGACTTGTTTACGCAACAGAATAAATTACCAAACAATCGAATATTCATACGGAAGAGTATCGATGATAATGTAGATCTAACAATTTTTTATTGTCACCAACGATCCGCTGGGAAATTCAGAGTGAAGTTGAACCAGGAAAAGATCGATCGTTGAGAAATCGATCGCCTCTGCTATCTAGTTGCACCTTTCGTTATTGTCATCGTTTAAACAACTAAAATGGGTGTGTATTTCCTGGGAAATGCAGCGGGAGATAAAACAAGAGTAAACGAACGCGAACGAGAATAAAAATAGATCGTCCAATGCTAACGCAGACCATTGATTAGTCATACAAATATTAAATAACTAATAACGATAATAATTCCGATCTGTACCAAGAAGCTGTTGCGGAACGTGTATTTAAAAATCGCTCTTTTATAATGGCAAACGAGTTTCTGGCGTGACAGAGACACGGCGTGAAAGATAACGAGATTGTAAATAATAAAGTAGATTAAATTTTGAATTCTGATGAGTGTGATCGTTTTATAAATGAGAGATGACCGCGATTACTGAAACATTGATTTTACGTGAAAGAAAACGTTAGGAAAAATTAATGGTGATAGCGATGATTATAAAGAACTGATTAATTAACACTATCTCGATATTAGTTCAATGCTATCCTCAACCTACACGCTTCTTAATTAGAGGAAACAATTTAAGGTTGAAATATCGAAATTAAATAAAAAACGAGGCAGTTAGACGAGTTGTTCTATACTAAAATTATTGGGCTCGATTTTATTTTGCTTAAACTATTTAAGTACGATGTCATTAATAATTTGGTAATGAGAATATTCAAAAGAAAATACAAGGTTAGAGCACTACAACACATTTACGAACGACTATGCGAAGCAAGTAGCATACAAACACCAGAATGGCCATCTATTTTCGGTACAAATATAAAAATTCATCCTATAAAGCTTAAAACATTACTTAAAACACTAGTGCAAACAATTCAAAATTTGTTAATTAGCACGAATACTTCGGAATCAATACTGCACCGACAAAATCAGTACAAATGCTCACTCTAACATGCACCTCATCGTATGTTGCTCGAAGGGTAATCATCCCTTAACACTGGGAACACCAAGCAGTGAAATCTCATTTCAATGAATATAACTAAATCAATTTACTTAACGATTTCTCATAAGATCATCTGCATCTGTTCAATAATGATACAAGAAATTCAAAATGAGTCATAACCAATTCGGAAGTTCTAACGTTAAACACGTTGACTGTCGAGGTGCTCGCATGCTCAACCAATCATAAAAAGAAGATTCCCATAGAACAAAAATATTTACCTAAGTAACTAGACAACAACGTAACGTAACAACCGTAAATCATTGATAGCTCTTTCTAATGTCATCTACCTTAACCAGGAAATCACAAGTATCACATAAAAATCTCGGAACTCTCGATACTTATAATCTCGTCGAGTCAATGTATCGTCAAAAAAACAAAATTTACTAAGCCAACGTATCGCGAACCTCCTCGGCTCGCGTGGGGTCGCGAGACGCATAAAACGAGGGGGGATCGCGAGACGCGCATAACGAAGGGGAAATGCTCGGCGAAGGGATCGATAAAAAGCTATGGAACTCGAGCGCATACTAACCTGGCCTTGCGTTCCAGCTGACCGGTCACCTCGTTCCTCTTCAGCACGAACGGCAACCTGTTGCTCACAACGATCATGCTCCCGTTGGAGGAGAAGCTGCCCGGCGCTGTGGACATTTCGTCGATTTTCAGATCAGCGATTGTTCGTTCCGTGATGGAGGATGACCACCGGCGAGCGGTGGCGGCGGAGGCGGCGGAGGCGACGACGCGCGACACCCTGTCCTCTCTTCGTCTTTCCGTTCTGTACGACGCGCGGGACACCGCCGCGAGTCCAGCAAACAAACGACTGCCCCGAGAACCGTTCGTCGCGTGTCACGTGTGATCACGTGCGTCCCGCCGGCGGAACCGAAGTCGAAGGAGAACCGCCAAACGGCTCGCTGGCTAGTCTCTCTCAGCCCGATCGTCGCGGCAAGAGACCGATCCGATACGTTCTCGGCAGCGTGACACGTGTGCCCGCCTCTCGGTCTAGCCTCGTCCAAATGTCCGCCCCCAGTGAACCCGGGTCGCTTTCAAATTTATCTTTTCGACGGCGGCAGGGACAGGCGATTGATTTGACGGGATCGATTCGATCGAGGGTACGTACAAGCCGGATATAGAAAGAAAACGCGAGTGGGAGAGGGTGCTTTCAAGACGATGACGATAAAGAAGAAGAAGTAGAAAAAGAAGAAGAAGAAGAAGAAGAAGAAAAAGAAGAAGAAGACGAAGAAGAGGAACAATGTCGGTCGAGTTTGGTTCGAGTGTGAGTGTGCCGCGGTGCGTGGCCGAAGTAGCACTGAAGTAACAACGCCGCGTTCCCCTGAGTTTATTCGAGTTAGCCGTAGCGAGGAATTGGTCCAAAGTGCGCTCTCTCTGCGACCGTATCAATGACGGGGCCGCGACCTTTTGGCCACCCACCGGTTGCTCCTCGTGCACACCACCACCCCGGCTACCGTCCCGGCACACGTAAACAGACCACCGTTCCTCTTCTTCTTCTTCTTGTTCGCATCTCGTTTCTCTTTCTCTCTCTCTCTCCCTCCCGTTTTGCTCGCCACCTCTCCCCTCTCCAGCCCCGCTGCTCTTATTCCGTTTCACTCTCGTCGCGGCGTGTCGTCGCGTGTCGTGACAGACGATCAGGGTTATCACCACCGTTATCTATAATAGTAATACCCGGACAACACACACGCTAGTGGGACGACAGAGGCGCGTGAAGTACCAGCGACGACGTCGCCGCCGCCGTCGTCGTCGTCGTCGTCGTCGTCGTCGTCGTCGTCGTCGTCGCGGCACAGCTGTACACGTCCCACTGTCGTCCCGGCTGTCAACATGCACCGTGACAAGATAAACCGAACGACTCCGTCGTAAACGCGGGACCAGGTCGGATGCAATATCGACTCTTTCATCCTTCGTTGTATGCCGCGTTTCACCGCGAAAACCAATCGCTATCGTCCCCGTCACAGTCGAATACGCGCCGCGGCTCGAACTTCCCATCGACCAGCTGGATCTCTGCGGACTACCCGCGTATTTCCCGTACATCCGGTATCAAGCGGGGAAGGTGCACGCGGAAGGGTGGCACGCGTTGTCGCGCTCCCGCCGACATTACAGCGCGCGGATTCGGATCTCTCGCGATCAGAAACGTTGAAACTGAGGCGAAGTCGAATTTTAGCAGCCGTATTAACCCTTGATTTGGCCGGTCGTGTGAAACCGGGGCGAAATAGAATTTGATCATCCCTATCGACGCTAGAACTGCCAAGTACTTAAATTGACTTTTCGGAGTATTGTTTACTAGAGCTATAAACGTGCTTTTATTGAGATTTCAATTGACTTGTATTTTAATTTGGGTATTACTGAATCAGCTTCCTTAATAATTTTCTAAGAAATATGTGTGTCTTTTCGGCAATTGTAAAAGAAGGAATCAGGCATGAGTCATTTTTAGGAACGTCGAAACTGTGGCGAAATAGAATTTTATCGGTCGCATTAACCCCTCGCTTTGACGTTCCCTTCACAGTCGCCGCTTTATCTTTAACAATTCGCCGGGAGAGAAAGGAAATCTATGGTCGCGTCTATATTTGCTTTGGAGGTTGTATATTAATAGCGGGAAAATAGTATCCCGTTTCGAGATAAAAGAAACGGGCAAGAACGATGTTTGTTGGCTTTCTACTTGAACGTTTCGCGACGAGTTTGAGCTGATGATAGTAGGCGGGGGATAAACACTAGGACAAAGTCAAATTGACTTTTTGCTATTTTTATATAAGAATTGCAAAAGTGTCAATATCAAATTATTTAGTAACTTCTTCGAAAAGGATTTGTGTCTTTTCGATACCTGCGGAAGAAGAAATTAGAAATAGGTCATTTTGACCCATCTGGTAGTTCTAGCGTTAATAGTTATGCTAAAGTGAAAGTCAGATGAAGAAGGAATGATTTTTTTTTACATTAGACACGCGTACATCGAAACTCGTAGTTTATCGGTGATATTTAAAATCTTGAAGACAGCGCTAGTGACACGAATTAATTCTTATCGCGCAAACCACTTGCGTGTTTAGTGGATAGATCGCTGATGATCGGGTATCGCGTTTCAACGTTTTCGTGATTGATTATTGTAGATAATGTCTAAATCTGGGAACTGATTTTAATTTACTGAAATAGAGAATGGCGAATCAGAGGTTATCTGAATAAAGCGAGTGTAAAAATGTGGGAAGGGGTGCAATTTAATAAAGATGTGAAGTAACCCTGTTTGGTAATTTAAAGAAAGAAATCTGCTTCTTCTGAGCTTTGATTAAGTGGATGGAGATACGATCGTCTGATACTGTATCAAAATAATGGTAGAAAACCCACAGTGGTCAGTAATATACATTTTAAGAAACTTTAAATATTTGTTTCGCAGACGATTCAATCAAGAAAAATCCAGAAAGTTAAATATTAATTTTAGGAGATCGAAACTTTGCAAAAATTATTATTTCTTCTGGTGAACTAGCATATGTTACACGCTTTTTACTTCTTTGTTTTGTCTGCGTTTATTCTCTTTACTTCGGAGATAATACGCTTATCCACCTGCCAGTAAAAAAAAAGCGAATACGCATTTGTTGTCCCTCAACTATAATTAGTAGCATCGTGAATCATACAATATATTTTTCCATGGACTTCCAGTTACGGACATTAAAAATACGGAGCGCTATCATAAACTTCCAGTTTTGTATTTCTCAAAAAATGCAGAAACGCGTCATTCGCCATAAAAGTGTTAACACTTTGCGCTCTGTATTACCACATATACTATTAATGATACTAGAGTCCTTTTTCGCGTCGCGGAAAATGATAATTAACTTATGATCTTTGTCTGAATAAACAAGGTATCCTACTGGGATGAATCATGAACTTCTTGTTGACTTCATAGACAAAGTAACATTCATATGCAAATCATGGAAACTGTATTATTCATTGAAGATTACTATGACAGACCTCGAAAAGAATATACTGTCAGTTACTGGATGCGTAACATCAAATGTATTATTTTATATATAATATTGTTAAAATATGTGCAGAACAATGTACACAAGATAACACAATCCGCCCTTAAATTGGCAAGGGCCTTAACCTTAAAACGTGGATCGTAGATTTAGAGAAAACTTTACTCGAAGTGAAAATGCTGGAACACATTTGATCCAGGTTGTCTTCCTTAGATTTTTCTACATAATATGAAATGTTGATGAAACATTATATAATATACAAAAATTAATTTCTTCTTCACGCTAAATATTTACAAACGGAAAATTTTAAATATTTATCCGAACGAGGTCAGGCATTCCTAATAAATTACTTCGACATTATTTATCGAGAATTAAAACTGGATTACCATGAATACATAAACGAACGACGACAGCCGTATTATATTACTGTTTTAACCCAAAATCTGTTCCACCGTGATGGAACGAGAATCTCGATCGTATCTCCCAGAAAATTTTCACTGGTTTTTCACGGTTCTCTAATCTGTTACTGTTTTCTGTACTTTGTCTGTATTTGCTTCCAGCCGATCAAAGTCGAGGAATGGATAGTGATTAATGGCCGCGATTACGTAACGCCGCGCATAGAAGAACACGCGCGGATAGGCGCAGAAAGAACGCGTGGCGAACAAAATTTTGGATATCTAACGCTCGAGCCTTGAACGAAATGGAGGAATTGTTTCGCCCGTGACGTACCGACCAGGTAAATATTTGAGGTCAGCTTTAGCAGCGCTGCATGTACTTCCCTCATTTTCTTGAAACAAACGAGATCGCGAACGGATACGTTGCATCGCGGTTCTAACGTTCGAACGTTCGACTTTTGTCTTGGTCTCTCGACGATTAACCCCTTGCCCTATGATTTCTTTCCCAATTGCACTTAACAGAGATGTTTTATTGTTCATAATTCAGTAGAGAAAGAGAAAAATTCTACACTTATTCTATATCTATGTTTACTCAGAAGCATTATAATGAATAACAGAAGAATATTCAATTCGGACTTGGAAGAATTAAGCGACATTTGTTAAATTCTATTCGAAATCTTCACCGCGAGTCTGACACGATATTCTAGACCAAGGGGTCAACCCTTTGAGTGCTGAATATTCCTTGCAGAAACGTTCTGCTTGGACAGGATATTTTTTCGCTTGGCTTGTTATCTGAAGATCGGTAAACAATGTTAATTCATACGAGGCGTGGATACGTTGTAGTTGTACTTTATCAGTTTTGACCATCCGAATAATGCTAAAAAAAGCGTATATTCATCTCGTAGACTTATATAATTGTCACCATGGTACGTGTGAGGCACGTCTATAGCACTCAAAGGGGTAACTTTGGTCAGGATATTATAATATTAAAACTAAAGTATATTATGCTTTCGTTATGGTAACGATTAAAGTAACACGCCGTCCTTCCTCCACCATCTTTGCTCAACCCTTAACTGATAAGGTAAGATTACTGAGGCGCTATTTTTTTTTAAATTATAACATTTGGTTTGGATACATTTACTAAAACTGATGGATTCGTGTGTCAACGCGTTAAACTTTCTAACTGAATAAAAATATATAACGGTAATTATTTATCCTTTCGATATTCTTTCTAAAACCTCTGTCTTTAACCCTTTGCATTCGGAAGGTGACTCGCAGTCACCACTTGATGTGATACAGTAAAACTATAAATTCTGATATTTAACGTTGAACTTTGTACAATGCCTCGATACATGAAATATTGGAATAAAATAGCTTTGTTTCTCAGTGGACTTGTGATTTCCTTTCAAGTTAGTTCCAAAAAACATCGTCTTTGTGTTGTCAAAAAATTTTAAATATTTCTAGTGAGAAAGTTCCGAGTGTAAAGGATTAATATTCGACAGAAGTCTCAACTCCTACAAGATTGTACGATTTTAAAAATCACGCCAACCACTCGTAGTATTCGAGATATCTTTGAAAACAATTTCAGTGTACGTGAATAAAGTTGCCAAAGCGATTCCATTGACTACAATTCCTAATTTACCGGAGGGTTTCAAGTATTCCCCTGAGCCACATGCGTCGCATCTATGTTCATTAACGCTAAAAAGGATCTATACCAATGGTATAATGAACATAAATGAGGCTTAAGTGACTCTGAGAGACAAGTGTAACGCTGCAGAAGCGATAAAGTCCGTATTTTTTACGTGGACGAGCATAGGTACGTTCAGGTGTACCGTATTTCCCCCTTTTTCGATCAGCATTTCGTTGGCAAACGCGTAAAGGGTTCACTAATACTTGGTATCGAACTAAATGAAAACAAACTATGTAGACCGATCTACAGGACTATTATCGACTCGAACGTGCTCGGAAACTTTAAACTGCGGGTATCGCTTTTGTCACGCGAAAGGTGTGCACGTGGCAACCACGTATCTGTAATCGTGACACCCTTCTCCACCCACGTGTGCAGTCTCTATTCTTCTCTAGCCTCTGCAACATATATTGTTCCCCTAAATGATTCGCTGTGGTTGATCGTGTGGCGACATAAGAATTGCAATAACGACTAATCGAACATAACTTAATTCCAGAAGAATCACCGAACTATATTCATATAAATTCACGTATTCAATGATTAACCGATGAAAACGTAATCTGAGAAAGAGACTTCCTTGAAAAATCCCGTTTCTTGAACTTCCTGCGTACAACATTCTATACGAATTGCACGAATCAATCGACCTCAACGATCGCAATAACAGCAATTCGCGAAATGGGCGCAAGTCCACGGAAATTTTCGAACTCTTCGCGCAGCGAATTTGAAATGGGACGCGGGCCGAAATCCTCGCAACGGCGACGTAAAAAAAAATATTTACTTTCTCGGTAACCGAATCTTTATCGTCACCGTCCCGGTAATCTCGGAACGACCGAGCTTCTCGAGAAATCACGACATTATCGACCGCACAATCGCCATCGCTATTTATTTTACTGAATAATCTGTACCGAAAATGGGAACAGATCTACGAATACAAGATATTTATTGGAATCCCCGCACGTGTTCGTTGCGAAACCATAGGGGAGGCCTAGGAACCAGAAGAAAGAAACGGAAAAAGAGGACGGGGAACCAATCCTACCCAAGAACAGTCCGCGTTCCCTTTTTCTTTTCTTTCCCGCCTAAATGTTCGTCGAAGGATGTAAGTAACAACGCGTAATTATTCGATCGACCGTGTAGAACGACATTTGAATAGCTTAATTAAGAAGCAGTTTTTTCTCGTAAATTGTAAACGAAAACAATTTAGCCGATTACGCGGAGAACGAGACGTCAAGGGGAGGAAGGTGATGGTGATGGCGATGGTGGCGGAGAGGGAGGACTCCACCGCTGAAATCTTGCGAGCGTGTACCGTCGCGGTGGAGGGATAGAAACGATATCGTCACGTTATCATCACGTGTCAATGTTAGCTAATAACAAGCCGCGAGGATCGCGAAGGAAATTGGCACGCGTCGCGCACGCGGCCCGATCGTCTTCCTCCACGGCCGTGGAAAAAGAAGGATCCCTGACAGCTGGTGACAACCATAGGTCTAGATAACGGCAGTTCGCGGACAATAACGATTCTAACGGAACGATCGGAACGACCGTGACGGTCCCGGCTTCAGGAGAAAAATCGGGAACGCGTGGCCGGAAAATAATGGCCGCATCATCGTCTAAAATTATTCTCGCTCGGTATGCGCGCCGAGATAAATCTATATTTTTCGCGTACTTTCGCCCGCAACAGACTGCCGTTACGCAACAACGCAACAACGTAAATGACGCTCAGCGTGTCCCCCAACTGTCTGCCGGTTGCGTTGCCTTATCAAACTTGCCACGAATGTTACAACAAATTCGCGTATGTAAATGCACTGTACCGGGTCTGTTTGTTGCGGATTTGCAGCATATCGGAATTACGGAAGCGATCGGTGCCGGTGATTCGGGGCCTGAAGCAGAAATGTTAAACAGTGCCTGTTTATGAAATTACCTAATCAATTAATTAATAATTGAATCAAATTATGTTTATGAATTATGAAAAAGAAGTCTGTTGTTAAGTATATTGGAAAATGTTTGGTGATACTAAGTCTTAAATTCGTTGAAGGTACTGGGGTAAGCACTTTTGCGCTCGATGACTCTGTGGCTGGGTCCTTAAAGAACAATGACTTCACTTTTCATGGCCTGTTTCGATCCTACGAGTCAGCTTAAAACTGGTTGAAAATGTGACTAAGAATTGGGTTTTCAACTAAAATTGTTTTACTTAGTTTCATCAAGACCGTTTGCTACGTAAGTACCATTTCTCGGTAGTCTACAAAATATTTGTGTGATTCACGATTATTTTTCATTTCTGTCCGCGTTACATTTGCATACGTGAATATTATAGAAATGTATGGAGAAAAATGAAAATCTCGTGACAATATAGTTTGTGCGATTGAATTTTTTTGGAAATTAAGCTATTAAATTTTTCAGTTTTTAATTCGGGGTAACTCACTAACAGTAGTAGTTTCGGGGTTTCCCGTCAGACTTCGTAAAAGTTCGTCAAACTTCGGGGTAATACGGCTGACAAGGCATGTGCGCCGCAAATAAGCGCGAAACCAGTACATTATTTTCCGGCTAAAAGTGAAAGGCGACAAATGTGTAGGGGATAAAATGTTTAAGACATTTCGTAAAAACAAACTTTAATCAGATGTTACTTCGATAAATATGTTACACGTTGGCGTAGAATTTGAATGTCGTTTACATACGTAATTCGTTATTACTAGGATGCTGATGATGCTCGAGTGCCATTTGGAACGTCTATTTCATGCCTTTAACAGTTGTCAAAAAAAAGCACTGTAAACGATAACAAATATAACTATTTTCACATTGTATAGAATAAGACTGCCAATACGATATACGCAAAGCAATTCCTATATACGTGTCACTTTAAATTTGCATTAGTAAGATGTGACATTTTAATTGAAACGTTAATGATGCAACAGCATTTGTTTTATTCGTTGTATTATGGGATGCATATCGTGCAAACAAAAGTGGAATTCCATTAGTTCCTGACGCAATACAATAAACGAAAGTGTCAAGTCTACATGCGCAAACAATGTAATTTCCGTATCATTTAATTTAGCAGAATTTGGATGTATCACGTTGAAAAAGAAATAAAAGTCGCATCTTTTAATAATTTTACACGATATAACGTGAGCTTGGAGGTTCATAACCAGCTGAATGAAAAGAAACTGCTAAGAATAGAGGCTGCACGTAGCATTTAACGTACATGTGTGATACACACCTAAAACGAACATCTGACGCTCATTGAAGAATATTTAACGAATCATTTTCGCGAATAGTAGTCATCGTCAAATTCATTGTCATGTAGGAATCGTTTAACCAACAAATGGCTGACTTTCCACATACGTCGAATGTTTTCTATACTGGACAGGGAACACTTTTGTTGAGTGAAAAACACATGTATGATCATGCGAAACAATTCTATGCGGAATAATGATGACTGGAATGGGAGGGAACAAAATGAATCTGATCTACACAATGTTTCAACTTCGCGAATTCGTGTCTACACTTTGTGGAGCAAAGACGGCATAGACACCCACCTCGAAAGACTAGATTTTTCGATTACTTTGCGTAGACTGCCAGTTGCAAACGCACTGAAGTGACAATTAACGTTGACGAAAGCTGTGAAGAGCTTGATGGCTATCCGTGCACTCACATGTATACCGGCAATTCTCCGGTACTGGCTAGTGTTTTTGCGAGATGTTCTTTCGAAAAGGTACCACTGGTAACTGGTTCTTTCTTCGCGAAATTTCGAACACCTGAAATTGCTGACCAAATCGATTATTACTTTGCAATGCTGACTGGCAACTAAGTTAAGAACCTAGGAAAAATCCCTAGCGTACACCTGAATTGCATTGGTTCCTACTAAAATTCCGAAGATACTTTAATACCTAAAATTGGGATTCCCCTTTAAATTCTCTCTTACAAATATAATATTGACATATAAATTAAAATAATATAAGTAATTCTGCTATAAAATCAATATCTGCAATACTTATTAACTTTCTATATTTTTATAAAAGTTTCTTGTTTATATATAACGGTTTATCCCAATAGATGGGCATTTACTAACACTATTATTCAATGGAAAGTCATATGCATTCATTTACTTTAACTGAAATTATAAATTAGACATACTTAAAATTTAATATCATATGCATGATTTTATATATTTTTTTTTACACTTGAATTTTTTCATATATATTCACTTTATTACAGTTTTATAAATAAAGTAAATCGGAAATACGTATTATTTTGATAGAATGGTGAATTTAGGTTTCATAGATTTTATAAATTTAGGGAATCGGTTTAAATCCTACCAATGACGGTTTGATCAGGACTATACATACCACATGTGCCAGAGTGACAGGAATGTACGTCATGGGAATTATGTTCAAGTTAATGTAAACGTTTTTGAGAAAGATTGACTAATTGACAATGTAAATATAATTAGAAGGACTTGGTACTTTTCATTTCAAAAATTTTGATATAAAAATGGCTATTATATGCTCAATTTGCAAAGACAACTTGATAGAAATTGATGAAGTATATCATACTGAATGTGCTCATGTATTTCATTACCATTGTTTACTAAAATGGCTGGAACGGTAAATTATTTTTTAATAATAATAAAAAAAATTAATAAAAAACATAGTATATGTCAGAATCATTTTACTTCAATGTGTTTTGATGTCTGCTTATCTCATAATAATTATTGCAACATATTATTTCACTTTCAGATCAAAAACTTGCCCACAATGTAGGGCAAAAGTTACTCGAAGCAAAATATATAGATTACATTTTACATTTTCTGATAATGAAACTATTAAAACTAAAGCATGTCCTTTGCAAGAAAAAATAGAAAATTTGGAGTTTCAAATGCTGCTGAAAGAAAAGAACATACAGTATTATATCTCAAAAAACATTACCTTGAATAAACAAAATGATGGCCTGAAAAGAGAGGTTCGAAAGGTGGAAAGTGAACTTAGAAGAAAAGATTCAACTATATATGAACTACAAATGGAAGTTGAAGGCTGCAATACTTTAAAGAAAGAAATTGCACAATTGAAAATGAAAATGGAGGAACTGAAGCCGTATGTAATTGTAATACCTCCAATCATAGCATACATTACATTTCATTTATTTATTGTCTATTTCAGGCTAGAAATTTTATCTAATGCTCCAGTTGGTGATGTTATCAGAATGGTTGAAGACACTAAAGATCCTGAAGTACTTATCAAATACATTTCTGTTTTGAAGAAGTAAGTAATATATATTTATAAAATTGTTATATTCTTCGAATAATACTGTTATTAATTTAATCCATAGGGAATTTTCTGAGAGCCTTAATAAACGTCAAAAACTTTCTACAAGAATTAAGCGATATCAAGATGATATTGCTAAGGCCAATGCAAAGTATGAGTCCTTATTAGGAGAACAGTCAAAACGAATGTAAGATATATAAATATAAGTATGATATTAAATGTCTTCAATTTAAGCTTGTTGTGCATCTCAATGTGCACCTCTCTTTTAGATATCGAGAGAAGTAGTTTAAACTATATTAAACAATTGTTTAGAAAAATTGAATAAACTTTGAATACATGACAGTAAAAATAAACTTATGATGTTTGCATATTTGTTACAGGGATTTAGAAGAGCAGTTAGCATTTTCAGAAAGCAGAAACATGGCTTTACAGAAACAAGTAGAAGAGTTAGAGAGAAGACTGGGCATTAATGAAGTGGAGAATAGTATATCAGATATTCAAGAATTTGAAATTAAGAATTATAATGATGAAAAGACACCTGCTGCAGGAACAGTTATTAATGAAGATAAAAATGAAGAAATGCCAAGTCAAAGTCTTATATCCTACAAACGAGAAAGGAAAGGATTTTCAGATTATACTATACCAAAGAAGAAAAAAAGGGATGATAAGATAAGAGAACAATCAACTATGGAGAATCATAACATAATTGATTTAACTTAAAAAAATCTTGCTGAAGTCGACTATCATATTTTACTATGCATTTATAATTATTTATTTTCTACAAGTAGACATGAGGCATATGATACACGTCATATTGTTACATGATGAAACTCTATATTATAGTATTACATGAAATATAAGTCATCTTACGTTCTCCGAATAAATAAAACATTCTACTTTTGTATATTGTAATAATTAATTTCCTTCTTCCTATATAACTGGGAAAGCAGTTCCAACATATCGCTTATTATCATTTTTTAATACATAAGTTTGAATACCGAATTTCGATCCGATAAAAGAAATTTTGCATGTTTTATTTGGACGAGTAAAAAAGCACAGTGTATATAATGCTATTTCTAATTCTGGTGGTGTTCCAATGAACATAGTTGAAATTTTACGTCTTCCATTGTAAGTGAAATATATTTCTAAAATAGCAGCTCCCTAAAAGTTTAAAAAAAATTTACAATCACTCTTATTTTAAGTTTATGTTCATACCTACATTGGGAAACTCTTTTCTGCGAGAATATCCAAAGTAATTAATTTTGCTTGTTAACTCCCCAAAGTAAAAAAAGATCCAATTATGTACTCCTATAATACCTTTCCTTCGTTTGCTTTCACCTACAAATACATGTTCAAACCCAGAACTACTATTTATCCTTTTGCTTCTAGAATATGGATGAAACCATATTTCTTTCAGAACATTTTTATAAACTTTTAAGTCATTTATAAAGAATCCTTTTACAGACAAATAATACATAGTGTGTAACATTACATTTGTTTCCATTAAATTATTAATGAATTCATCTTCCTCTGCATTCTTTTCTATTGTTATAATTTCTGATTGATAAGTGTTTAATTCATAATTATCAAACAATTTTATGAGGGAATCTGTTGTTTTTGTTGTGACATCATTGAATGAGACATTTAATAATCTACAATTGCATAAGGTTTTATTAGGAAGTGACATTAATGAAAGTAAAATTTAAGAAGGTATATAGGTACCTTTCAGGAGCATTATCAGTAAAATTCTTAGAAGTTATTTGTCCTTGATATTTTATACACAAATGTTTATAAAATACGTTAACAGATTTATTGAATAATTCCTCCGATATATTTAGTAATTCTGCATCACTTATCAGTGATCCTATAAAATAAAAATTATAACAAAAAGAGTAGTTGATAAAACTTATACACATTATATATTCTTTTTATATTTACCATCTACTTCACATATTGTTAAATGATATAAAATAATTGTATTTAAAATGATTATACGAAAAGAAATTTTAATAACTTTATATAACATTTTATAAAATAAATACACGTTACAGGTTATATGTATTTAATAATTCTCATTGAAACGATGATCTTATCGTTGTTAAATTTACGTATTATGTAAATCTTTATTACAAAATGTTTTATGAAATAAATATGAAATGCTATTTTAGCCCTTTAGTCGTTTCTTTACAAATATAAGTGATATATTTCTCAACAATCATTGATTACCATCGTCGAGGATACCGATTACGAAATTTTGTTTACAAATGGTAGACTCTTGTTTGTGGTATCCTTTTCCGGATAGTAAAAATGTCGAGTCGTATAGAATACATAATTTCACCATGGGAAGCCGAAGCGTATATACAATCATTAAATATTTCACAGCTGGAAGATATAGGAACGAAAGGGTAAATCTCTTTTGTATTTCAAAGATACTCATATATTTTATGCAAGTATGTAATATTTTGATGTTTTTAATTTTTAAATGTATATATATATTATTTTTAGATGGTATGAATTTCATAAAAGATTAATGTTATTAAATCAACAAAGCGTGTTAGAAATTAATGCTTTAAGAGAGGAGAACATCAAGGAATTGTTTGTTTCATACAAAAAAGTATAACAAATATTTAGTTTTATATTACATATAACTTTTAATTTAGCATCTGTTTCAATGTTATAGATACCAATTCTTATATACGAAGCAATCCAAATTGATGTATGGAAACACAAAGTATTTCCTCTTTTGTTAAATATAAATAGTGAACCACAAAACACATTCATGCTCTTCACTATATTTTACCATGAAAATATGGCTGTTTCTTTATTGGAAAATGTACTGTTTCATTGTGAAAGTGCAGAAACTATCGATGATACAGTTCTTGATCTTGTAGATTTCGCGGTTAAATGTGTTATTGAACTCCTTGATATGCAAAATATTGAAATTTACGAAAATGTGAAGAATCCTAAGTAAGTCATTCCTAATGATTAAAACTTACCATTGTTTACATCTCAGAAACAATATAATGTATAATAATAATTCGTAATTAGTTCATGCATTGAAGAAATATTAGAAAGAAAAAAGGAACTTGAATTTGATATTGGTATGCGATGCATTTCGATTCTTCGTTACTTGGCAGAGTTCGCAGATAATTTACCGCTTTGCGTCTTATCCCGAATGCTATCTACGCACGATGTACCATTACTTCTCGTTCAATTAATTGAAGATCGTCCGTGGACTAAAGAGAATGCTGATGGTAATTAAACATATATTTCACATTCAAGTGTAAGTAAAACAATAATGATGCTTTAGATAATGCAGTAAATTCTCAGGCGAATACATGATATATAATGGTTCTTGGAAGAAAATGAAATCAAGTGAAGAAGGAAAAGTTTCTAAAATTGAAGGACAAGTTTGGATTGGTTTACGAGAATTATTACTTAATCCAAAGTGTGCACCATATTATGAAATTACAGAGTATAGAATGTCTCATTTATTGAAGGTAGTACTTTATACTGTTAAAATATAATGAACAAAAAAAAATTGTTATTTAAATTAGTTACAGAAATATTTACACGAAATCATACTAGATCAAATTTCTCCTTTATTGGAATTGAAAAGATGGTTGAGTTATTTAAGTGTATCATCATCCCATTCTAAAGTACCTCAAGCACTAAATGTAGAACTTATACCACAGGTTACAAGATCAATTGATACTTTCAATTTCTGATATAATAAGAAAGCTTTCGAAGCAATTATTGATATTCTGTTTTTATTAATAGATGAGAACATCAATCATGGAAAAGTATTATAAAAAATGGAAGAAGCTAGCAAAGCATCAATCAAAATTTATATTTACAACAAATAAAGAGGATGTTAAAAATGCAGCACAAATTTTAAGTGATGCATATGATTTGGATAAATTAGATTGCATTGACATTAAAGATTGTTTCCTATGCCAGGAAGAGGCACAAAAGCGTTGTTCTAAATGCAAAGCAGCTTGGTATTGTGGAAGGTATAACCATTTTTTTTATTATAACTATAGAATATGTATAAATATTGAACAAATGATAATCATAGGGAATGTCAAGTAAAAGACTGGCCAAAACATAAAGTCATTTGTGATAAGATTACAAAAAGTGAAGAATGTAAACAGCAGCAAGATGAATCTAAGACTATTTCATAAATTTTTAAATATTTTTCAATGCCATTTTTGAACGAAAAAAAATGTAGTACCGATTTTTAATACATTTGTTTAAATTCATATTAAAACAATTACTTATTGCATAAACAAAAATACATATGAATTGAATAAACTATACGTACAATATTATGTAGAATGTTTTATTAAAGAATCTTAATGTACAAAACTTTGTTTGACGTATTCCATTACAACATCCTTTGCAGGAGTGTCCTCCCCAAAGTCCTAAAATTAAAAGACACTACATAATAAAAAAAAGTTTTTTAAAAATATAAGAGTATTAAAATAATTATTAAAGTCAGAAAGGGGCAATACAGCATGGATTATTTATACGGGTTCTCTCAGTAGAGGGAGCCAATAATATCATCATTTAAAATTATTAAAAGTTATAATTTACTTTACATAATAATGATTTTGTTTATATTATGTATTCATACCTTTATGACAACACAGGAACAGCCAACGACTTTCCTAGCTTTACCAGCACTGTCAATTTTACAAAGTCCAGCCCATTCTCCAAGTTTCTTGTTATTATCTACCTTAATTAAAGGGATTTGGTGTTCATTGCACAATGCTTGAACAAGTTTTTTGTACATAGGTTCATCGCAATTTTCAGCTAAAATGCAAAGCATAGCTTGTCTCCTAAAATAAAATAATTAAAATTTATATAAAAAAATGAATATTTTATTGAATATTTATAATAATAGACTGTACTTTGTTCAGAGAAGGTTAAAGACAGCATTATTTAATTTTTTGTAACGGGTTCATCTCAGAAGAGGGAACCTGATATTATCATCACATAACAAATTTTTGCACTATAAATAAGCGTATCATAATGTACGTTTGATTAAACTTACTTGTCTAAAGCTTTGGCTGCTTCATGAAGACCATGTACAACACCATCATGAATGAGAGCATTTTTAAGAACTTCTTGGAGGGCTGTGTTTACGTCAAGAAAACCTCCTGCAGCTGTCGCAGGGGCGACGTCGTCACTTTAAAAAACGAATAAGAAGTAAGTCTTATAGTTTAAATGTTCAAGACTTGATTATTTGCAAATCACATAACCAATTCTTGACATGTGGTAAATAAAGGCTATGCGGCGTCTTTTTGAAGAACGATGTAGTCAAACATTTAGAATAACAATAGCAATGTCAATTTACCACTTTCGTAACGCAAATTGTATTTATTAGTATAAAAAAAACGTGTTAAACATAATTGTATATAAGATACTCACTTTTCTACGTCTGACATGTTTCTAATGGACTGGGGAGCTGAAATAACGAAAAAATGTTAGTGATTATGCTTTCTGGCTCACATATTGAAACTTTTTCGAGTAAAATATATGCCGATGGCAGTACAATATCCGGATATCTAGCGCATTGCCACACGACGTGCTTCCATTTACCTTTTCTTACGAAGAAAGAGGAATGGCGCTCATTGAACCACGCGGTGCTTTGCTTGTGTCTGGAATGGTGTTGATTGGTCACGTAACAAACGTGTGGCGGCACCTATGCGACATGCCATAAACATAAAAAATATATCAACTTCTCCATCGTCGATAATAAAGAGTTGTCGAAAAATGATCACAAAAACTAAATCTATTTTAATGTTTGATACAATTTTATTGTATATCGATAACTATTATTGAAATAACTGAAAAGCAGTAAAAGGAAGAAAAAATTTTAGAGTTACTGAACTAATAAAAAATCTTGCAAGCAAACTAATAATTATTATAGATATTTTTTAATAAACTCTTTTCTCTTATTTTTAAAATTATTTATTCAATGTATCAATAATTTTCAAAGTAAACATTTTGCTTATAAACTGTACAATACATTTATTCAGAATATCAATACGGTCAATTGTTACTCTTACTTTATCTGTCTAAATATCTGTAGCAATGTATTTACAGCAAATTTATTCTTACAAAGACGCTGTAGAAATACCTTAATTTACGAATTACAATTGATCTGTGCGATTTTAATTTCAGGCTCCTAAGAAACGATTCTATTTTCCAGTTTCTAACTATTTGTCTCTCTATTACATCAACGAACAATTGTTATAGGATCAAATCAATGTATAGATTAATTATGACTGCATCGATTCTCAATTATATTATATACATTTTCTGTGAAAAGATACTTCTTACTATCGGAAGCAGTAGTTCCATTAACTTAACTCACACCTAAAGATTTTTTATCAAAAGTATTTCTTAAAATTTCTAGGTTCAAAGAATCTATGATACGTTCTGCGAGAACCGTATATTCATTTGCGCTAACAACAAAATCAGTAGAATCGCAGTACAGTTGATTATTGTAAATATTACGTTCCTTAACACGTTGAGTGCCGCACGATTTTGACGAGAAAAATATACAAAATGAAAATAATGTAACATCAACTTATGTAATTGAATTATGTTATTATTATTGCAGGTTTATCTTGTCTAATGTCACTGCATTAGGTGATATTACTTGTAATATAGAAAAGTTTTCAAATAATCATCGTTTAATCGAGTGAATTATATTAATTCGATTTGGTTGTGGTCACTGGTGACCCCATGGCATCCAACGTGTTAATAAAAATACATGGATATCAATTAAATTTTATAAAGGAAACCTAGTGTCATTATATCAGACTTATTTCAGTGTTGTAAACGCAACATAATTGTAACTAATTTCTTATGTTACGTGGGCGGAGAATATCGATGATAAGGCCAACAATAATGCGGAGGTGGTGGTGGCTGAGGCGGTTGAGCTGATGAAGGTACGGATACCGATGGATGTTGCGAACCTGACGCTCCTGTTGGGTACAAGTGATGAGTGTGATGGGAATGATGACCATGACAATTTGCGCCTGTACCTCGAGACGTCGGGGATGAATCTAACGTCACGCCAGACTGTGCTTGGCAAGCCATCATCAATCCGTGGAAATCGAATTTGTAAGCGTAACGCTTTCCGTGAACCTTCGTCATTATATTCTTGTCATAATAGTACCTGCAACATCGAGCAAACCTTCGTTGATTTCGTTCATTCTTTTTGCCAACGAAACACGTCAATGTTTCATGGAATATCCTCGCCTTTCAACCCTTTATAACAGTGTCAACAAGTTGACATTCCAACTGATTCACTCGATTAAAATGAATTACCAAATACACGATTGTTGTAGTAAACTGTCTACTTCGTCCAAAACAATGCAATACTTTGGAAACAATTCCAAATGCGAAGGGAAGCCAAACCACGGCGTCCGCTGTTAAAGTAGAAACGAATATTTAAGTCAGACAGCAAGTAGAAAAGCGATACTTCACATAATTTAATGTTACCAATTAACACGTTGACTGTCACGAGAATTTCGAGCGTTTTGTGTTGTAATACTTATTCTTCCATTACAAAGGCAAATGGTATTAGAAATAATTATTAATGATTTGATATCACTGTACCCGTATTACACTATTATCTATCTGCTTATGTTACTAAATATTTTTATTCAACATCAATTTCCTTATTGTGGTTATTTTCAAGTCATCTGGAAGCTCCAGTCATCGGTGACAATCGTGGCAGTTAACGTATTAAAAGTGGATTCTTGTAAAAAGACAACTAGCAAATGATACCGTTTAGGATGAGATACGCTTTCACCCTTGACTGACTGTTAACCTTCCAATAACTCACAATCCTGTTCATTCTATCACAACTAACTTTGAACCTTCTAGAACTTCAAGTCCGACTTCTTTTAGTACCTCTTCAAACTGTTTATATAGAACTGATCATCGCGACACTGAATTTGGCAAAAACACCAGTCTGAATGATTCTCTCTGCAATCGAGGTTACCTGAGCGCCCGCGACAGTTTGTCGTAGTTCATGTTCGGTTTGCTCTTCCGTTCGCCCCATCTGCGCGCGACCTCGTCAGGATCGGTGAGTTTGAACTCCCCGTTCGAGCCCTCCCACGCGATGCAGGTAGAATTCGACGAATCCGAGAGCAGCTCCAGCAGGAATTGCCAGAGTTGAACCTGTCCGCCTCCAACCGCCCCGGAACCCCCGGCTCCAGCTGTCGATCCAATCAGCGAGCAAGTCCTTTGGAGGAGGCTGAACCTCTCTGCGAACAAGAAGCAGAGATACGCATGCACCAACTCGACCGTGTCCGACTGCTGTATCGAGGCGAGGTCGATCCGCTGAGAGGGACGAGCGTTGGGATCAAACACGAGGATCGTTCAACTGGTCTGTACTGAACTTTCTGATTCTCCTTTCCAGCTTTTCGGTTAACACTTTAGCACCCGGTAATTCCAGGATACGAGATACTACGTCAAATACTAAACGTTTTACGGAATCATTTAATGCGAATTAATTCTGTTTTGATACGCTGAAAACAAACCGATTTAGAAAGTATACATAATATTACGGTTATCACGTTAAAAATATTTGACTTCATGGATGGTACATTAAGGAAATTTTACAGAAAAAGAAACTTTACTTTGTTTGACTTCGCAGAACAAAACGCGGTAACCTTTTGTTGGGTGTTAAAGTGTTAATTGCCAGTAGCGTGTCGGTTTTGCGCGATTATTTATTGTAATAATTGGCAGCTTCGAGTTGGGTTAAGCGATGCCAGTTTTATGAAGTATTAAGTACATATATTTTGTAAGAATTAAAGTCTAGGACTAATGCCTAAGAAGAAATGGTTGATTGAAGTTTCGAAACGCACAATTTCTTGTTTAACGAAACAAGCCTCTATGGAAGAAGTAAAATATGTCAATGTAGTACTTCGAGAAACTCCAATCATAACAGATTGAATAATATTTAACTTGTCAATGACTAAGGATGAGAAACTAATTAATTGCATTGAAGGGAACGTGGAGAAATTATAAAACTAAGTAGAGGGCTGAGAAGGAATTGTGCAAGAAGATAGATAGTCTGGGAGCGCTTGTTGTTTTCTGCTCAACATATAAACAAACTTCTGTCGAATATAAATTCACTTCTTATAAACAGCACCAATGTTTACGAAACGAGTTGATAGGTTAAATATTATCAAATACCGTTGTAAAGTATGGCAGCTGCCGAAGGGTGGAATCTGGTATCCTGCTGAAGATGCAGCGGGTGCGTTTGAATCCTCCACATTACGCGACGAAAGATATTTTAAGCCTAATCCTTCACCGTATGTGCAACGGTGGTTGACAGGCCCATTGTCAATCCCCTAATGATCATGGAGCACGTGTTTGCCACTATAATTTCCAGTAGTTTTCGCTTCATACCCGAATCTTTGCAGTTCCGTACCATATTTCATCATACTTGAAGTATTAAGAATTCCCTCATCGATCATCAATCCTTTCCAATATTCATATTAAATCGCCCAGTCGTCACAAAAGAACTAGCGTACAGAAATAATTTAAAAATCAAATCATAATCAATATCCCTTAGGAGTTGAAACATTTGTAAAAGTGTTCAAGTTTTTTCTATCGACCAAATTTTTTTCTTCTTTTCTTTTTCTTTCTCTCAGTTGAATATTAATTTAAAATTGTGTCGCACTGAAGATCCGGTTGCGTGTCGCGCAAATAGTTTAAAGTTCATATAAATTGTCGACATTTAAAACGACGTTTTCGTCGCTTGTTTAATTAAACATAACTGAAATATTTCCCGCGCGATCTTCCAAGTGTCTTTGATCGTACGGAGGGTAAAAGCGATCATAACAAACAGCGAAACGGTCACGTCGTATACATTTTACAGACGCACAAACGTATACGCACAAACGTTGATCACTGGGTCCGATAAAACGCGGGTATCTTCGGAATAAAACGTATCGGTCGGTGGACAGAGTGTAACTGAGCGACCTTTGCCCCCGGTGATTTCAGCCCTTATCGTCCCCACTCCAACTCCCGTGGAAGGAATACCTTTACACCTCAATACGGTATGCGACTGTACCTCCTGCTTCACCCACTCTCGTTGCCACGAGGGCCAATGCCAGTTTACGCAAGTCAACCATCCAGTTTATGCAATTTTCAGTGCTCCCATTCTCTTTCTGTTTATTCCTCCCCTTACCTTCGAGCGGCCCGCTACTGGTTGTTTCGTCTTGTAATAATGCAATACGTATGCATTGGGTCCGCGTCGAAACAAAGTCACCTTTGAAAAAAGAAAACATTTTAACGGTAATCCTTAGTATTACCAGCAATTTTGTAGAAGGCTTCTTTTTAAAAGTCTCCAACAATAGATGCAGATCGGCACCCTGAAACGATGGTTATTAATCTCTTTACACCCTGTACATACAGTGCGCCTACAGAAAATGTACTCGATGATTGGTGCAAAAGGTTAAGAACTTAATTATTTTACCCGAGCAACCAATCCATTAAGACAACCAGCCTGTAGCGAAACAGAAATTTTCACGAGAAAGTACGTTCACATTCGACAAACTCGAGATGAGTGTCACGAGGCATCAAACCAAAGCAACGAAATGCTTCTCAGAGAATTGAAAATTCTTTTAGTATTACTACTGTGTCACTGCTATTACATTAACACGTTAAACGCCACGTGATCGCTGACTGACAATATACTTTTCGTTCAGGCCGCAGCAGTGATCGTCCACGACATATGCATAATTTAAACAATTTTACAGAGAATACACGTGGTCTTATCGCAACCTTACATGTATCTTCGTTCGCTAGTGTATCGGCGATGTCAGACATCGCGGCCAAAGGGGAAAGGAAGGCAAAATAAGCTTGGCTCTCAACGCGTTAAATACCTTCTTATCTTACATTTTGTAACCATCGTATTACCATTATTGTATTAAATATCTTTTCGTATAATTTCTGGTAACACTCATTGCAGTGCACCTCGGGTACACGATGATCCATTGGAGAAGTGCACGAGGTGATGCATCGAGTCAGCTTTCCGCGGTGGAGAAGGTGTCGGCGGTGGCCGCGAAAGTTCGGCGAAGCGGCAGCCTAGCCGACGCGTAAAATTATCCCGTATACGGTGGAGATTCGGGGGATGTTTCGCGCTCATCAAGAAAACAATATAGCTGCGCCCCGCGGCGAGCTTACCGCCCCTAGCCCGTTAGAGTTTGCACATCCTAGCCAAGCCCCGGTCGCATCCCCTTCGCGCCACAGGGGCCAGGGGGCGGAGGAAGGTGGGAAGCGGTTACTGCGAGGCCGTAACCCACCGCCTCCCCCCCCCGATGCCGCCACCTTTCCGCCGCCCTAAACACTCGATGGTTTATTCATGAGGGCTCTCTCACCGCGATAACACTGATTCGTTTAATAAACGGCCGCTGCCGGGCGCGCGGAGTGGGCTCCCGAAGAGAGAGCACCTACAACGTTATTCAAACGGACAATATATCTCCGAGGCTTACGGTGCCAAGACTCCGCTCTTCTCTGCTTTTCGACGCGACGAAAGTCGGATCGGCTCTTTTCCACTTTCCGCGGCCCGCCACGCAGT